AAGCATCTTGAATCTGTAAGTTTATAGGTCTTGAAACCTTGGAAATTTTTCAGTTATTATTGCTTTGAGTACTTTGAAGCTCTTCTCTTTTTCTCTTTTCCTTCCAGGTCTCCAATGGCATGAATGTAAGGGCTTTTGTTATAGTCCCAAAGGTCCTTGAAACTGTTATTTTTTTTCATTCCATAATCTCAATACAGTTCAGACTAGATAATGTATCTTATTCCATTCTTCCATTCACTGATTCTCTTCTATGTCCTATCTCTCTTCTTCTGCTGTTGAATCAGAATCCATGCAATAAACTGTTTATTTTGGTTGTATTTTCAATTCTTAAAGGCCCATTAGGTTCTTCTTTATATCTTCTATGTCTTTGCTGAGACTATCTTTTATTTCTGGAAGCTTTGTACATTTTATTTGTGTCAAGTGTGGTCATAATTGATCTTGGAGGCATTTTTTTTCATGGCTGCATTAAAACTGTTGTCAGATAATTTTAACATCTTTGTCACCTCAGTGATGGCATCTATTGGTTATCTTTTATTATTCAGTTTGAGATCCTCCTGTCACTTGGTATGACAAGTGATTTTTCACTGAAACTTGGAAAAACCCATCATTAATGTACAGATGATGGTGGTGATGATGATGATGATGTTCTGAGACCTTGAATCTTATTTAAGCCTTCTATTTTAATTGGCTCTTTCTGACCTTGCTCTAGCAGTGGTGGATGCCACCTCATTACTGCTAGGTGGAGGTAGAAATCTTGATCTTCCATTTGGCCTTTGTTGATACCCAGAGTAGGAACAACTCCTTCTTACTTCTGGGCAGAGGTGGGAGATCTACATTCCACGTGTTCTCCATGGACATCATGGTGTGGGTGACCTCTTTACCACTGGCTTGTGCTAAAAGTCTTGACTCTTCACTAGACCTCTTCTGACACCACCAGAATGGAAGGAAAGAGTGGTGTGTCTTTGTTAGGTGGGTGAGGAAGTCAATGTGTTCTCCAAGGACTCCACAGGCTGTAGGTACAGCCTTATGACTGGCCGTCAGCAATGAAAGTCTCAACTCCCTACCTGGCCTCCTCTGGCACCACCCCATCAGGAGTGTTGGAGTATCTCATAACAGCCTCATGAATGTGAAAGTCTAGGCTGCCACTGAGCTTTTGCAGGTGTGAGTAGGGATGAGGCTATAGTTTTGTTCTTTCTGTGATGTTTGGTTGGGATACTTATTATCTAAAAGTGTTCAGTTTTGCTAGGCTGCCCTTTTCCTGGTCTTCTGGCTAGAGATAAAAGGATTTGGGAAATAGAGTGAGCTTTTTGGTCTCTGTCACCAATGGCATTTCTGGATTGCCAGCTCCTGCCCCAAGTCTGGGATATATGAGGCAGAAAGGAAACCCTTGGAACTCACCATCATGTCATTCCTTGGGTTGCAAAGTCCCTACTGGGACTGCCTTTTTTTTTTCCTCCACTTTTCAGAGTATTCTTACCTTGTTGTTGTGGCTGATTTTAAATAAATGTATAGAATTCCAGAGTTTTGGTGGTACTTAGTGGGAATATGGAAGTGAAAGTCTCCATACTGTACACTAATGCTGAGTTTTTCACAAGATACAACCATGAGTAATGTCAACAGTAATTATGGTGTGCTTTCATATTTAGTCTCAGTTGTTGCTCCTCCAGTCACATTATAAATGACCAGGGTAAGATCAGAAGTGGGAGTTAATGCACTCCTCATTATTGTGGTCGAAGCTTTGGCAGATGAACTTTGGAATATTGAGTTGTTGAGAAAAATAACTAGAGGACTTGGGTGAAATAAAGTCAATTGTGAGAATTAACAAATTTACCTTGGTGATACCACTTTTCACAGTTTTTTAAATCTTAATTTTATAACCATACTAGTTACATATGTATAGATTCTTGTTTAAAAAGAAAAAGAGGTAGCTGGGCACGGTGGCTTATGCCTATAATCCCAGTACTTTGGGAGCTGAGATAGACAGATCACTTGAAGTCAGGAGTTCAAGACCAGCCTGGCCAACATGGCAAAAACCCATCTCTTAAGTAAATAAATAAATAGGCCAGGTGCGGTGGCTCACACCTGTAATCTCAGCACTTTGGGAGGCCAAGGAGGGTGGATCATGAGATCAGGAGTTTGAAACAAGCCTGACCAACATGGTGAAACCACATCTCTACTAAAAATACAAAAATAAGCTCAGTACAGTGGTGCACACCTGTAGTTCCAGCTACTCAGGAGGCTGAGGGAGGAGAATCAATGGAAACTGGGAGGCAGAGGTTGCAGTGAACTGAGATCACACCATTGCACTCCAGCCTGGACAACAGAGTTATACTCTGTCTTAAAAAAATAATTAATAAATAAATAAATAATTAAAAAGTAAGTTAAACTTTTCAGGAAAAGCCTACATTCCCCTTTACCCCTTTGGATCCCACTTTTCTCTGCCAGAGATCGCCTAATTGGCTCAGTGAGGAAACTGCACACTTCAGATCTAGGGCTAAAACTGTTCAAAACAAGAAGTGTTGTTATTTCGTGTTCTCATCACGTATAAGACGTGCTTTTTGGTATGGCAAAAATTATGTTGAAAAACGTACAGTCTTTGTCCTTAGACATCTTACAAGATTTTTAATTCAATCCAGCAAATATTTATTAAGTGCCCACGGGGCTACATAAAGAAGGATATAACATTGTTTTTGCCCTCAAAAACTTCACAATATGGCAAGGGAAATAGATGATGAAAGAAAAAGAAATACGAGTTGATAAATTACTAAGGGAAAGCAAAAGTAGAATTAATTGAGACAGAAAAATTATCTAGGATGACTAAGACTGAAATTATCAAAGTCACATAGGGCAACTTGTGGGAGAAAGAGGGTACACATAGGGGAAATAAGCTAAAACCAACATAAAACAAACAACAGAAAAATGAAAGCTGCATTGATCTTTCCGGAAAGATGAGATATTACAACTTAAAGAAAGAACAGAATGTTATTAAAATGGAACAGTCAAAGGATAAAAATTAGCTTGAAAGAAACTTGATAAATCTCCCAAAAATGGAAAAGAATATGAAAAAATAGGAGAGAAAATACAAAAAAATTTGAGAATCAGTTTAAGAGGTCCAAACTATAGACATTTCAGAAAGAAAGAATGGAAAAAACAGAGAGGGGGAAGCTATCAATAATTCAAAAAATTTTCCAAAACTGATGGGCATACATTTTAGGATTAAAACAGCCCATTCAATAACCAGCACAATGAAAGAAAATGGACCTATGCCAAGTTGTAACATTGTGAAATTTAGAAACCTGAGGACAAAGAGAAGATTTTGCAATTTTCAGGAAGAAAAAAACAGAACTCTTTTCAAGAATTAGGAAGGCGTTGACTGGACTTCTCAATAGTAGGAAACTAGGCTTTACTAGTAAAATGCCTTCAAATTGCTGAGAAAAACTGGCAAGGTTACTTCCAAATTAGGATTCTATATACCGCTGAATCATCAATTAAAGGTGAAAGTAGAATAAAGACATTTCAGATATGCAAGGTGTCAAAGATGTTCCTCTTTGTGTACCCCTTTCTTATGAAGATACTAAAGGATATACTCCAACAAAATGAGGGAGTAAAATTTTAAAAGGGAAAGGCATGGAATCCAGGAACAGGAGATTCAGTATGGAGAGAGGTTGAAGGAAATCCCTGGGATGAATCCCTCTACCCCTTTGGATCCTACTGTGAGATTTAATATTTAAATCCTTAGGTAGCAGCTGAAGCAGATCTAGTGGGCAGCCAATTTAAACTGGAGTAGGCCAGATGGCTCTAGGATAGAAAATCAAATGTGCTTGAACATGTTGGAAGCAGGACTCAGGAAGGAAAAGAGAAAATATATTAGGAGCAGATTTTTAGAATTGAGGAAAACTTTAAGTTGGATTAGTAATAAGTACATAGACAAGCAGATACAAAATAAAGACAATTATTAATTCTGGGGTAAAAAAAATATTATCAAGAGAGAAGAAATTATAATGTAACTACATGGTTCAGTTGTAAGTAACGTTTGCAGAGTTATAATATTAAATTGACTATTGATCCAATCAAAATAAAGCTATACTGGGAAATAGGAAGCTGGTGGGGTGAGGGCTGGAGGGAGTGGGCTAAACCAAAACAAAATTCTCCTTTTTCATTGAAGGAAGACAACATAAAAGTCTAAAACTAAAAAAGTCAAGACATAGCAATGTAGCCACATTATCTAGAGATGTGAACGTTAAATAGTAATGAAGGATAAGCTATGTGAGAATTGTGAGTAGTTGCTTCTGGAGACTGCAAGGAAGGAAAGTGGAAGAGGCTACTATTTTTCATACCATGACTTATGTGACACTTCAAACTATTTGCAGTACAAGTTTCATGGGAATAAAAACTAATTAACAGTGAATTTTTAAAAGTTAACTATTTTCAAAAAGAGGCAAGTGATTAGTTCCAACTAGAGGCTCTGGGAAGGGCTTCTCCATAGAGGGCCTGAATGAGGGGACTAGGTCAATAAAGATGCTGCTGCAGGCTGGCGCGGTGGCTCACGCCTGTAATCCTAGCACTCTGAGAGGCCGAGGCAGGCGGATCACAAGGTAAAGAGATCGAGACCATCCTGGCCAACATGGTGAAACCCCGTTTCTATTAAAAATACAAAAAGTAGCTGGGCATGGTGGCTGGTGCCTGTAGTCCCAGCTACTCCGAAGGCCGAGGTGGGAGAATCGCTTGAACACGGGAGGCAGAGGTTACAGTGAGCTGAGATCTCGCCACTGCACTCCAGCCTGGCAACAGAGTGAGACTCTGTCTCAAAAAACAAACAACAACAAAACAAAAAAGCTGCTGCTGCAATCTCCCGGGGGAGAAACAACTTGTGCTGAATATGAGCAGCTATAGTGTGGAAGGGAAAGGCAGGCAGTGGATACAGTCCTCGAAGCCCCTACTTTGAGGAGCCAGTGAAATCAGCACACTGTTCTCTCCCACTCTTGTTTCCTCTGCTTCAGATTATGGAACGAGCTCTATTCCACATGGACAACTGCTATAAAATCCCCAATATCCGGGGCACTGGGCGTCTGTGCAAGACCAACCTGCCCTCCAACACGGCTTTCCGGGGCTTTGGGGGGCCCCAAGGGATGCTCATTGCTGAATATTGGATGAGTGAAGTCGCAGTGACCTGTGGGTTGCCTGCAGAGGAGGTAAGCTGGGAATTTGGTAGCACAAGCCAGAGTGGATTAGCCTACTTGTGGGGAGAGCGGCTTTGTATGTTGGGCAACTCCCATGGGGGCAGATGACAGGCAGGGGCTGCTGAGGGGGCTGAAAGGTTAACTTTAGCTTGTGTCCCGCCTCAGTCTCTTGCCACCAACAAGGCCTCTGTGTCTCTCTCCTTGGGAAGGTGCGGAGGAAAAACCTGTACAAAGAAGGGGACCTGACACACTTCAACCAGAAGCTTGAGGGTTTCAACTTGTCCAGGTGCTGGGAAGAATGCCTAGCAAGCTCTCAGTATCATGCTCGGAAGAGTGGGGTTGACAAGTTCAACAAGTAAGCATTGGGAGTAGGAGTCCAGTTGCTCTCCTGGGTTTCATATCCTACAGCCTTTCTGCTGACCCCAAAATAGGAAGCTAATAATACTATGGATAACTTATGAGACTGCTTTGCCAACTCATTCATAGCCATCTCTTTAAGATCTTATAATCATCTCCAGCCCAGGGCAGGTGGGCTCACAGCCTGCAATCGGAGTCATAGCCTGTCACTTGTGGTTCATCTTTACACATTTGTACACCTTCTGGGCACACCATATTATAAAGAACGCTGACCCAGGACTGACACACCACAGTTATGCACCTGCCTCTGACACTAATCTATAAATATGAATTTGGGAGTCACTCCACATCTCCCTGGGCCTCAGTTTCCTCATCTGAAAAGGGGGCATAATTGTGCTGGCTCTGTCTTCCTCGCAGAGTTACTCAGATAATTAAATATAAAGCACAGAGAAGGCTTTCTTCTTGTCAATGAGGTGCAGTGCCTCCTGGAGATGATGACAGTCCAAGACCACAGAGGCACTCTGATCCAGTACAAGTGGTACTCAGGGAAGAAGAGTGTTGACACTTTAAAGTCAAGGCTCCTGGGACAGGCTGTGCACCAGCTGACCGCTCTCATTTTTGTCTACATTATTGAGGCATAGTTCCATTATTATGGGACCATCTGGGTAACCCCGAGGATGTCCTGTTTTGATTTGATCCAAAGATGTTGTTGACCTCAATACGGTAGAGAAGGTTCTATCGGAATGTTCCTTTTTCTTCAGGGAGAATTGTTGGAAAAAGAGAGGATTGTGCATAATTCCCACCAAGTTTGGAATAAGCTTCACACTTCCTTTTCTGAATCAGGTAATTGCTTTATAGAATTGTGCCCATCTCCCTGGACTGGGGCCCCATTTCCTCCTTGTTTACAGTATTGCAAGGGAAATTTTCTTATCACTGGCAGCAGGGCTTACTGGAGGAACTATTTGCTGTTTAAATGAAAGTTGAACTTGTACAGTCCTATTTGTCCAGTATGTCATGGGCAGTGAGACTCAGAGATCTGGGATCAACCTCTAGTTCTTACCTTTCCTTGCTATCGGACTGGAGAGATATACTCTGTTTTTCTTGTTCTATTTCTTCACTTATAGAGTGAGGACAGATATTTGACCTACTTCCCTTGAGAACAAGAAACACACAGAGAGAAACATATGAAAACCTTCTGCAAACCACTGAAGTGTCACATAATTAAATCATGAGATTTAACTGCCGTAACTTTTGTCTGAGATTTACATCCAAAATGCTGCTGGTTTTCTTGTTCCCGGGCTCCATACCTTTGGTCCCAAATCTTACTGAGTTGGAATTTACTGAATTTTGTGTCTGGCATCCTTCTCTTTCCCTAGGCAGGAGCCCTGCTTCATGTGTACACAGATGGCTCTGTGCTGCTAACCCATGGGGGGACTGAGATGGGCCAAGGTCTTCATACCAAAATGGTCCAGGTGAGCAGCCCTCTCTGGCACTGTGGTGTCTGTTGTGAGGGGAAGTGATGTGAGAAATTGAGCAGTGGGACCTACCAGAGCAGAAGCAGGTCCGGGGTCTGGGTAGCCTTGGGCAAGTCTTTTCCCCCACTTGAACTCAGTTTCCTCATCTGTGCAAAGGATTTGCCCAGGTAACACTTGAGGACATTGCTATTACCAACATTCTCAGCATGTGAGGTGGGCACGCTGTGTGTGTAAAGGTCATGAGTTTCCCATACTCCAAAGACTCCTCAGAGTGGAGCGAGGACGATGAGCTGGATTAGACTCAGCACATCTGCTTGGTGCATGGAGACTGGCCAGATTGGATCTTGTGAAAAGCCGGTGTTAGTTTAAAAAGGCATTGTTCGTCAGTTTATAATTTTTTTTTATCCAACCAAACCACTCCATCAAGTGCTCCTTCAAATTCAGCCAGGTGTGAGGACATCCCAGTCAATGGGATTAGAGCTTACAAAATTGTTTTCTTGCCTGTAACAGAGAAAGTGAATCCTGTCGTGGGGAGAAGGCAGCCAAGCCCCATGATATCCCCTTCCCTAGAGGGCAATGTCTTCTCTTTTTGCAGGTGGCCAGCAGAGCTCTGAAAATCCCCACCTCTAAGATTTATATCAGCGAGACAAGCACTAACACTGTGCCCAACACCTCTCCCACAGCTGCCTCTGCCAGTGCTGACCTCAATGGACAGGCCATCTACGTAAGGAGCCTTTGGGAGCCCGCAGAGCAGAGGGCCAGCCTAGGGCTGTGGGCCTGGAGAGAGTCTCACTGGGTGGGAGCTAGAAGGGTTCCTTGCAGGCTCTTTGGCTCTGGCCAGGTCTCTGGCTCCCTTATCCAGGAGGATGCTGTTTCTCCAAGTCTCAAGCTAAAAGAGAGGCCCAAGAATCATAATCACTGCCCTCAAAGCCAGGAAGGATGAGTACAGGATGGGGAGATGAAGATGCTGAGGGAAAACAGAGGCTTCTGGAAATTCTCTCTGGGGTCAGAACTGGCCACAGGACAATGGATTGAAGCTAAAATTTGGTTATAGAGTCAGGTTGGCCCCACTTGCTCCTCTCCCATCTGGGGGATGTACTTGAACAAGGAGTTTGAGGGAAGAAGACACCTCCCTGGGGATCCCTCGAACATTTCACCCTCTGTCAGCCTAAGAATTGGGTCAGGAAGCACTCTCCAAGCCGCGACTAGTGGTGGCCCTGTTGGCCAGGTCCTGTGGATTCCACCCTGGGCCTCCATCATTCTGGAGTGGGTGGCAAGGCTGTTCGAGTAGCACCCTGAGCACAGCATTACTTGGAGGTAACCTTTCTGGGGCCCTTCTGTTTTGCCTGGGTACAGAATACAGAGGAGTGATGTGTCTGGGGCATGGGGGGTGTTTATTTTAGGCAGCTTGTCAGACCATCCTGAAAAGGCTGGAACCCTACAAGCAGAAGAATCCCAATGGCTCTTGGGAAGACTGGGTAAGTCTGAGCTGATCCAAGTCACTTTTGCAAAGGAGAGGGAAACTGACAGCAGGGCCTCCGTTCTGACCCCAAATAAGCAATAGGAGACAATGATCTAGTCAGAACAGCAGAGAGAAGTTGAGGTGATTTGTGTGATTTTAGAGGAAAAGTAAATGCTCCTGCTGGCCGGGCTCCTTTCTTCATAGCTTTCATCGCTGAGGGAGGTCATTTAAAGGAGGTTTTTGATCCAGGATCTTGACAGCCTTGTGGGATCAGGGTTTTCACTGCCTGAAACTGAGAGGATGGGTGCCGGCTGAACATGACTCATTGGGTTGTCTTGGTTCACTGGAGTGGCTTCCACACCCTGCTTGTCCCAGATGAGCCTGGTTTCCCTCAAATCTCCAACTCTTGAGTCTGGGTCCACTGAGATTCCCTCTGTGAGAGCGTGGGGAGAAAATATCACCCAAGGACTTCTGTCATTCCTGTGATTTGGGGAATGACAGAACCAGCACCTATAATACGAATGAGCCCAATTCTCTGACTTCTAGAGCAGTGGCCTGAATGTCAGACACCTCAGAGGGAAGCTGCAAGGGAGTCTCTCGCAGGGGGAGGCTGTGGCCCCTCCAGTAGGTGGAAATATCAGTGGCAGCTCCGCACCCTTCCTCAGTATTGGAGTGCTAGAACTGGGCAGAAGAGTAACACATCAAATGTGACCACACATAAACCAGCTCACTACAAACCTTCCTCAGTATATTCACAGAAAACACAGTGTTTTTCTCAGACTCACTCATCTTACTATGCCTCCTGTGACCTCTTCATACCACATGTACCGATAGCACATGAATGTAGCTTGATTTTGGTAGTTGGGTTTTAGCGTGGATTTATCAGGCAGATAAAATGTTTTTAACGACAGTCCTGACAACAATGTTCTAGCATCTGACCTGTGGATCTGAGCTTTGTCTTCAACCACCAGCCATGTAGACCAGTGTGCCTTGTAAATAGATAACCCCAATAAATGAGCCACAGTCAACAACACATACATACACATTCATGCACGCACACACACACACACACACACAGGCATGCATGGACACTCACTCACATGCACGCACACATTATGTTAAATGACTAGGGCAGATTTTAGGCCCAAGTCTTTATCTCTAAGCCTTAGTTTTATCTGTAAAATGAAGCCAATAATAGCATAGGTTTTCTGGGGTTGTAGTGAATATAAGTAAGATAATGTAGGCAAAGTGCTAAATAGTGTGAGTGACATAGAAAAGAGCTTGGTGGCTGCTAATGATGAGGACATAAATATATCAGGCACAACTTAAATCTGAGTGTGTGCTAGTGTTTGGGGATAACAAAAAAAGCACATTATATAGTCAAAGGAATAGGATGGAGGGATGGTTTTATCAACAGGAAAGTGTTTGTAAAAGCGTGAGGTGAACATGTTAAGGATCACATGAGCATTATAGCAAGATGCTTTTACAATGGCCAAGTAGGGAGAAATCACCAAGGAGGGGGGTCTGGAGAGGCAAGTTCGAGTAGTTGTTGAGGGAAGAAAAGGATTTGCTCATTTATAGAAGAGGAACCACATTAATCAAGGTGCAGAGGCGTGGGACATGGAATAACTGAGAGATTTAGCTCTTGAATGTGGCTGGGTGGCCATGGTGTGCACAAACGGCCAAAGAGACTGTGCTTCTTAATGTCAGGCATTTGCTCTATAGGCAATAGGGGCCATGGAAAGCTCTCGAGTAGGGGAGTGACATGCACAGTGTGGTATGTTAAGATGGCCACTCGGCTGGGCTTGGGGAGACGACTTGAGACAGGAAGATCAGTTAAGAGGTGACTGCAGTGTTCCAGGCTTCAGATAATGAGGACCTGGTGCAGACGGTGCCAGGGAGAATGTGAGGTAAGGTATAGAGATGGGAGTCACTTGTAAAATGAGTTGATTGGCTTCCAGCGGAGGTGAGCTCCTGAAAGCTTGGGGCGGATCAGGGTTTCTGAAAACCTCACTTCCCCTGCCTGATAGCCATCTCCTCTCCTCAGGTCACAGCTGCCTATATGGACACAGTGAGCTTGTCTGCCACTGGGTTTTATAAGTAAGTATGGTGCTGTCCTTGCCCAGCTCATAGTGTGATGTCATCCTAAGCCCACTGGTCCCCTCCAGCACCGAATCCTGCCAGGCTGTGGTCAGGAGAGAGCAGCTCCACTGAAACTCTTCTCTCTTCAACGGACTTCCAGCAATTTCAGTCTAAAGATGCTCCAAAATATGTGGAATGGCCATGCCGTATGCTGAGAAGTAAAAGCACCAGCTGTGTGTCAGAAGACCTGACTTCTAGTTCTGGTCTCAGGGTGCACCATTTCGCCTGAGGAAGTCAGTGGTCCTGCTGAACCTGTTCCCCTGTTTCCTCATTTGTGACGTACTGGGGCCAGTCACCTAACCTTTCCTCCTTCAGTGTTCTCCTGCAGAAACGAGGTTGTCTGGTGTTATGAGTTAGGCATTGCTGTTAGCCATGAATGCTTCTTTGTACTGTGTGTGGGATACTTTTTATACGAGAGGAGGATTTAGAGCACGTGGTCTTGTTACAAAATGCAGCATACAGTGGAAACTTATTAATACAGGGAGATTTTTCAAGAGAGTATATGTCTTCTGCAACTTTAAATTCAGTAGCAGCATGAATAGCTAGAGACCCTGCCCATCTGACTTAGCGTTGTAAAACGATATGATAGTATTTACTGTCAGTCATCATGTTTTAGCCATCTCTGGGAAGTTTAGGACCTTTTCTTTCACAGATCAATATATTTGGAAAATAATTCAATGTTTCTTTAAAATATCTTATCTGAATGTATGAATATATATATGCAAAATATATATGTATAAACATTTCTTTGTATAAAACATTTATTTGCCATATGTATATGAATATATATGAACATATGTATGCTCATATGAACATGTTCATATGTTCATATATATTAGGCATATATATGTTTATACATCTATAAGGCATACATATACATATATAAGGTATATATATGTGTAAACATATATACCCACAAAACATTTCTATGCCATATATATGAACATACATATGGCTAATATATATATGTGTATAGATATTACACTGAATATATATGTTTATACATATATATGCCTTAGACATATATATGTATAAAACATTTCTTTGCCATATATATTTATACATATATGTCTTAGACATATATATGTATAATACACATATATTCAGTGTAATATCCATACATACATATTAGCCATATATTAGTTATATAATGCTTTCTAGGCTATTGATATCTGACCTACACATACATAAACACATTTTCTTAAAAATTTCTGTTATATTTCTGGAGTTCATGAAACTAGGGTTTTATAAAGGTGAACCCAGATGAGCATGGTGAAGGCAGAGGTCAAAGACATTGGTGGTGGTTTCTTCTGGGAGAAGCCTTTTCCCTCAGCCCCATATTGATTTTGTTTTTGTGCAGATATGGTTGTATCAGCTCATGTTATTCCTGTGTAGTGTATAGAATAACATAGAGTCAGTGTACCATAAACTGTAGGTGTGTGAATACACATGCACAAATGCATAGATACACACTTACATTTGTATGACTTATGCAAAAGTGGAGTTGTATAAGGTGCTTCAGATTGAAAATTTTTAAAATATATAAGGGAGCATTTGTTTCTATTAGTATCATTTCCCTCAAATTGTTTGTTGAACTTTCAAAGGGACCCGCAGGTGGGGAGTGGCTGCTTAAAGGTGAACCCAGGTTAGCATGAGATCCTGATCTTGTTAGCTTTCACCTTGAGAAGGTGAGCAGGTGGACTTGTGTGAATAGTCTAAGAGCCACCACAGGCAGAACCTTCTGTCCTGAAGACCTTGGATTCTAATTCAGTACATCTTTGAAGTGTGACTTTCATGTCTTTTGTGAGCCCAGACAGATCTATCACCTCTGTTTATGCTGTGCGGAGGCCAACATGGTACTAAACACTGCTAGGCTGTACAGAATGAGGACAGAACGGCTATTGGCAAAATGGGGGAGAGCCCAGAGACAAAATGCTCTGGATCACCTGGGTTTCATTAACAGGTTCAAATGGCTCAAAACACATGGACTTTTTTGGAAAACAGCTGAATGCAAAAACTTGTAGGGTTTAAAGATTTTGTGGGTCAAGCTGTGTGTGCATAGAGAAGGGAGTGTGTTCATGTTAATACACACGCAGTATCTCCTCTCTCCCAGGACACCCAATCTGGGCTACAGCTTTGAGACTAACTCAGGGAACCCCTTCCACTACTTCACCTATGGGGTGGCTTGCTCTGAAGTAGAAATTGACTGCTTAACAGGAGATCATAAGGTAAGAAGTCTGCAAAACTTTCATACTTAGTGGGAAAGAGAAGAGAAACAACTAAGTTGTAATACCAAGACCTGATAGAGAGGAACTTTCTGGTTAGAAAAACAATGCCTTATGTTAAGGAGAGGAAAACATCCTATAAAGGGCCACAGAGTATTTTAGGTTTTGTGGGCCATACAGTCTCTGCCTCAGCTACTGAACTCTACCACTGAAGTGTGACAGCAGCCATAGACGGTTTGTAAACAGGTAAGTGTGACCGTGTTCCAGTAAAATATGATCTATAGACACTGAAATTTGAATTTGAATTGAATTTCATATAATTTTTACTTGTCACAAAATATTCTTCCCTTTATTTTTATAGTTATTTAATAATTTAGTTATTAGCCTACAGGCCATAGAAACATAGGGGCGAGTTGGATTTTGCCCATGGAACATAGTATTTTTTTTTTTTTTTTTTTTTTGAGACGGAGTTTCACTCATGTTACCCAGGTTGGAGTGCAATGGCACAATCTCGGCTCACCGCAACCTCCGCCTCCTCGGTTCAGGCAATTCTCCTGCCTCAGCCTCCTGAGTAGCTGGGATTACAGGCACGCGCCACCATGCCCAGCTAATTTTTTGTAGTTTTAGTAGAGACGGGGTTTCACCATGTTGACCAGGATGGTCTCGATCTCTTGACCTCGTGATCCACCCGCCTCGGCCTCCCAAAGTGCTGGGATTACAGGCTTGAGCCACCGTGCCCGGCCCGGAGCATAGTATATTGACTCTTTTGTACATGATCTACCCAGACTCAGATTCAAAGCCCCAGGTTTCTGGGACACTGTCTGACGACTCACATATGAATGTGTGTGCAGTTACTGAGAGATCGTTGCTGCTCCCCATCCCCTGCCCAGCTGCTACAAACTCAGACTTCAGCAGTGATGGTGGCAGCAGAGATCTGGTAGGAACATTAGCGCTTCTGCCTGAGCATACCCAGGGCTTTCTGCTTGGAAATGTACTCTGGTTGACACTTGTAGTCTGAGGGTAACCATGACTCACCTGTCATATTCCAAACATCTTTTTCTTCTCTAACTGCTTGTGTTTTGCTGTCTACTCTAGAACCTCCGCACAGATATTGTCATGGATGTTGGCTCCAGTCTAAACCCTGCCATTGATATTGGACAGGTGAGGCTCAGGGGACCAGGGTGGTGACAGACTCGGACAAATGCACCCCAGTCCCCTCCATCTTGTCCAAGGTTGTCTTCAAATAGACTAAAATGTGGAAACTAGGGAGTAGCCCCAAAAGTAGAATTTAGATTCAACCAACTCTCAAGGCAGAAAGCAGATTCATATGAGTTAACCTGGGAAGCAGATGCCTATGAGTTAACAAAGAACAAGCTGAGGAATGGGGAAACATGGCATGCACATGTGGACATGTGCACACTCCCAATTTGAGAGCAAGCACATTTTAGAATGGAGACTGAGTTTGGGATCAATGCCCAGACAGTGGGGCCTGAGGTCAGAAGAGTTTTTTGTCTTCTCATTCCTCTTCTACCCAGGACAGCTTTTGTACCCCAGGAAGTAGATGCTGCTGAACATGGAGTGGTGAAAGGTCCTGGGAGCAAAACACATAAGGCTTAAGCAGAAGTAGTAAAGGGAGGTCCCAGAGAAAATCACTTTAGGAGAATATGGAATTATTGGGAATAATAGGTGAAATAAGGCTGGGTGCTGTGGCTCACACCTGCAATCCTAGCACTTTGGGAGGCTGAGGTGGGTGGATGATCATCTGAGGTCAGGAGTTCAAGACCAGCCTGGACACAACATGGCGAAACTCCATCTCTACCAAAAATAAAAAAAAATTAGCTGCTGTGGTGGTGGGCGCCTGTAATCCCAGCTACTTGGGAGGCTGAGGTAAGAGAATTGCTTGAACCAGGGAGGCAGAGGTTGCAGTGAGCAGAGATCGCACCACTGCACTCCAGCCTGGGGTGATAGAGCAAGACTCAGTCTCAAAAAATAAAATAAAATAAAGAACAGGTGAAATGGGAGAAAACAGAGGAGAAATCAAGAATTTAAGACTGAGCATCTGGTAGAAAATACAAATTGTACTTCTCACAAACGGACAATTACCGAATATACAAAAATCTGGCTATTAGTCAATCTGTTCATTAATTCATTGAACAAACACTTATGGTCCCCTACTGTGGCTAGACACCGAGTCAGGCACCGCAGACCCAAAGGTGATTGCCAGCCGGTTTCTTTTCTGAATGCTCACTGAGGTACGATAGTGCCCCATGTCACTCTTCTGAGCAGGGGAATGGGAGAGCTGATGTGTGGGCCAGTCTAGCATGGCAGTTATCCTAGAAGAGACCTGTAAGCTGAGCTGCAGTGGGGGCACTTTCTCCCAGAGACAGACAGGGGTGGGAGTTCACAATGGAGGGAAGCCTCAAAGAATCTACTATCAAATACATCCTCCTGTGAGCTTGCTTCTTAGCTTAGGCTCACCATTTCCCTAGTAGCAGCAACGTGGAAGGAACATCTCCATCTGCACTGCAGCAGGTGACCTTCAGTGTTAATGTCTTTGCTCTGCCTGAGCCAAAGCCTGGCAGAAGTCCAGATAGGTTATCCCAGGGCTGCGGCAGGAGCCAGGTAAGAAATAGAGGGCTGTTTTAGCTACATTCCAGGCTGCACTACAGGTGGGGCTTTGTGTCTGTCCTTTGTGGCAAGTGGTATTTGTCCTTAGGGAAGAGGGAGGCAGGGTAACCATGTTCTCCAACCATCCTGCAGGTGGAAGGGGCATTTGTCCAGGGCCTTGGCCTCTTCACCCTAGAGGAGCTACACTACTCCCCTGAGGGGAGCCTGCATACCCGTGGCCCTGGCACCTACAAGATCCCTGCATTTGGCAGCATCCCCATTGAGTTCAGGGTGTCCCTGCTCCGCAACTGCCCCAACAAAAAGGCCATCTATGCATCCAAGGTACCATTGCTCTGGCTCTGTGTTGTCTTCTTCTGATCTGCCCTGGGGGAGGCCCCAGTGGGTGAGGAGAGGCCTCAGTGACCCACCTGGTGGGCCTTCAAAGGGCATATCTTGAGGAGGGAAGATGGTTTGACACTGACCTGGGTAGGGGCAGTGGGAAAGTTGGGCAGTCCTGCTTGAGAACAGTTGAATTGGGTTGAGGACAGAGCCTTAGTGTGGTCTGAAGCCTGCTTCTTTGGGTGAATTTAGAGGGATTCCTTCATCAAGCCTTGTCATTCAAATCCTGGGCCACACCCCTATCTCAGGCGCACATCACTGGTGCTTGATCCTAAGAGATGATTTTACAGGTACGGCATTGCTGTAGTCCAAGGAAAATCAGCACATTCACTGCAGATGGGGTAGCAGCTTCATACACACCCTTTAACCTCCTTCAGTTGCCAATATTCGACCTTAAGACAATCAGGCTGGTTGCAGTGGCTCACGCACTTTGGGAGGCCAAGGTGGGTGGATTGCCTGATCTCAGGAGCTCGAGATCAGCCTGGGCAATGTGGCAAAACCCCATCTCTACTAAAAATTTAAAAAATTAGCTGGGCATGGTGGGTCGTGCCTGTAATCTCAACTACTCAGGAGGCTGAGCACAAGAATCTTTTGAACCTGGGAGGCAGAAGTTGCAGAGCTGAGATCACACCACTGCACCCACCCTAGCCTGGGCAACAGAGTGGGACTCTGTCTCAAAAAAAAAAAAAAAAAAAAAAAAGACTTGGTCCGATACCTGGAGGATTGTGAATAAGTGTCCTCTATTTCTTTCCTATCTCCAATAAGTACGAATAAATGGTTGAAAATTGGCTTAGCTGATGGATACAGTCCTAGGTTGAAGCAGGAGGGCAGCTAATCCCTGGTAACCAAAGAAACAGCCATTTGCTCCTCTTGTGGTTGACTTTACTGTAGGGGGCAGGGGAAGCTGGGACATATTGTGACCCTTGCCATTGACTGTCATACTTTACCATGCTTGGGAATTACTGGGGCTCATGATAAAAATGCACTTCTTAGCCCCACACCCAGACATTTTGCTCCAATAGGTGTGGCTTAGGGCCCTAGAACATGCATTTTTAGCAACTATCTTCAGTGATTCTGATATAGGTGGTTTCTGATCTATACTTTGGGGGTAGAAAAACCAACCTATGCTAGAAGGTGTTTTAATTCTTGTTTGTTATTATGCCCATAATTCCTGCGGATGCTGTAAATATGACTATGGGTGCCAGTAAATGTTGGCATTAGAGTTGCAGGTAGACTATACCTCCTCGGCTAGTGACTGTGAGGAAAAGGTTAAAACTTATGTCAGATTTTGGGGTCTGTAAAATACAATTATTGAGTATAACTTTACATGGTACATTATATTTGCATGGTGTCATCAGAGAAAATTACACAATGAGTGTTCAAAGAAATTTGCCCGTGAGGTTCAACCATGTACTAGCTAGATTGTTCTCAGCCCCTGATCAATTCTGACTGTGCCTTCCTGCCATATTTAGTGTGGCCCTGTCAGTGCTTTCCTGGTGCCACCAGCCCTCCTGGTGCAGAGCTCACTGCCTGGCCTCCTAGGTCCACATGGTGATGATGTGGAGGCTGGGCTGCCTGCCTGAGCCCCAGCCCTGTGCCCTGTCTGTGTTCAGGCTGTTGGAGAGCCGCCCCTATTCCTGGCTGCTTCCATCTTCTTTGCCATCAAAGATGCCATCCGTGCAGCTCGAGCACAGCACACAGGTAATAACATGAAGGAACTCTTCCGGCTAGACAGCCCTGCCACCCCGGAGAAGATCCGCAATGCCTGCGTGGACAAGTTCACCACCCTGGTATGATGCCCCTCAAGCTTCCACTCAGTCCAGGGATAGGCTGGAAAACCACAGGGAAGTTCCTGCACAGAGGACAGGTTGTGGGCTCTCTCTTAACTGGGAAGCCTTGCATCAATGGCCACCCTTCACTGTGCGCAGTACGAAGCACACACTCGAACTTGCGAGAGAATTATGAGAAACCTCCTTAAAGCTGTAGCTTGTAGCTGGGCCTCCTCCTTAGAGATGGGAGGAATGCGTGGTGCACAGTCATAACTCACAGATTTTATTATTTTCCATCTAGATAAGGGTGATGGACGAAACTCCAGAGAGCCTAATCTTTAGTGTCAGTTGCTAGCATTTTAAAAATTGATGTTAAGGACACTGTATGAATATTAGGGGGATGGAGGGAAAAAGGGGAAACAATTAATTAGACCAACCACATTTGTCCTGTGATTATTGTGTACCATTCTGATACTGGAGACACACAGGTGTCCTTGAGGACTTTGCAACGTTGGGAAACCAGATGATTGCATTATAGGGTGATTGATTACTGTCTGGAAGGTGTATGTGGCAGAAAGTAGTAGAATTCCATAGTCATTGGAATCACTTTAAGAAGCATCTATGTGATGCTTGTAGTTAGCAATGCCTGGCAAAAGAAGACTTTGCTAGGATGATTGCTTCCACCATGGGGATCTCAGAACCGGCTTGCCCTCTGAGTGATGCTGAAGTGGGCTCTGAACCATGGCTTTAATTGCTTTGCAACTGCAACCTCTGTGGTTAGCAGGACTGGATTATTCCTGATACTCAGGTTGGGCTTCCTCTTTTTAAAATTCAAAAAGTCTTTTGGATTTAGAGGTAAAGTGGGTACACATGGCCCCGAGTAGGGAGGGCACAGGAAAGCCCCAGGGGCAGGCAAATCTCCAGACTTCAGCACAGCAGATGAAGGAGGCATGTGGGTCCCCAAGAGCTTTAGCTATGAATTGAGAACTACACAGACTGTGTGGCACTCCCAGGCAGTGAAGATGCCCACAGCTGTGCAGCAACCTACCCACAGTTCAGATCCTTCCCACCATGGCTCCCAATGCTGACAATCACCCAAACACCATTTCCTTGAGCGGACTGAGGCTGCATGACTCCCAGTAAGCTCCCACAGGTTATAAGGTGAGCTCTTTGCAAACAGCCTGATGCAGATCTCCATCATTTTAGTAACCTCTCTGTGGCCCCAGACCTAAAACAAAGATGCTTTTCTATATTACAATATACCAGCAATTTAAAAACTCTTGCTATGCATTTGCATGAGCAGCTGATTCTATGAACTTTTTAAGGACCATTAGTTTTCAAAAGGGATCACATCTGTATTGTTCATCACCATACTTCCAAAGCCTTCTAGAATACCTGCCACATGGAAAGTGCTCAATGATAATAAATGAGTGACTAGGAAATTAAGGAATCCTGCCCTGGGGCATTCTCCATGGCTGGGCCTGCGGAGTGGTGCTTGGGCTTGGGATGGTGGTTGGCAGTGGTGGGAGGTGATGTAGGCAGGAGAGTGGAGGAGCATGATCAGCAAACCCTGGTAATGAGAACACTGTCATTTCTTCCTAGTGTGTCACTGGTGTACCAGAAAACTGCAAACCCTGGTCTGTGAGGGTCTGAAGACAGAGTCCCCAGCAGAGTCTTCTTGTGCTGCATTTGGGCTTCCATGGAGCAGGAGAAACACACCACAGAATATGGATCTATAAAAGTCACAGAAAGAGCTGTGATTCATCAGGATGGAATTTGGAAGACAAGTGAATGCATTGGAAGATTTTGATCAAAAATGTAATTTGCAAACATAATGAGAAGCAAATTCAAAACTCTTAGGCCTAGATGGTGAATATGCAGTTAGGATCATTTTCTGTCTTTTTAAATCATGTACTTGGAATAGGGTCAGAAAGGGTTTGTCCTATTCCCCATTTAGTGGACAGCCTGTATACCTCAAGTTCTGATGGTGTGTGTCCTTTGAAGAGGATTCCCACAAACCTCCAGTAGCTTAAACCAAAGTAACTTTAAATCGTGTGCCTTCCTCTGAAAGCCTTGCCTTCAAATCAATGAACAGCAAAGCATAACCTTGAATCTATACTCAAATTTTGCAATGAGGCAGTGGGGCAAGATTAAAACCTCTAACCATCTTTGAATCATTAAAATAAAGAATGAAACAAATTCAAGGTTAATTATATCTAGCTTTGTAAATCTGCATAAAGCAAGATTACTCTATAACACAAAAATCCAACCAACTCAATTATTGAGCACCTACAATGTTCTAGATTTTTTTCCCTTCCTCTTTGAGTATTTACAAAAAAAGATAATGTTTAATCTTTACATTTGAAGCCAAAGTAATTTCCACTTGAAAATGATGCTATCAGGCCTGGCATGGTGGCTCACACCTGTAATCGCAGCAATTTGGGAGGCTGAGACAGGAGAATTGCTTGAGCCCAGCAGTTTGAGACCAACCTGAGCAACACAGAGAGATAATGTCTTAAAATTTTTTTTTAATTAGTTGATCTTGGTAGTGCATACCTAGTAGCCCCAACTACTTGGGAGGCTGAGGTGGAGAGATCATTTGAGCTCAGGAGGTGGAGGCTGCCAAGTGCTATGATTCCACCACTGCACTCCTGCCTGAGTGACTGAGCAATATCTTGCCTCTGAAGAAAAAAAAAAGAAAAAAGAAAAAAAGAAATGCTGCTATCAAAATCAAGATCAACCAGAGGTAGAAGAGCCAAGAAGCCTGGGTCCTCATTCCAGCTCTGTCTCTTCTGTCTCTACTTTGAGACCTTGGACTGTCATTTCCCCTTCCTGTGATCCATTTGACTGCAAACATAGGGATTGCAGTAAAGTGTTGTCTCACATCTTCTGCTCTAAAAGCCTATAAATATGTGACCTGAAAACTCCAGTTACATAAGCGATCTGCAGTTATCTAAGGCTTGGTTTTCCTACTATTATATGAAACCTGGTCTAATGAACTCTGCTTAGATCCCCTCAAGTTTCTGAGGTTGGCAAAGAGAACAGGAGAAGAACAAACGTCTCTTTCATTACTCCGACAGGTGATTTAATCCCTACATAGTGCTGGGTGGACGATGTGTCACCATAGCATGCCTTCGCTAAATAAATCCAACCTTCAGCCAGACAGAATCTGTGGCTCTGGCTATGGAGGGAAAATAATGGAAATGATATGGTTGGACTGGCACTTGATGCCACTAATAAATGAAACTGTCAGCTGGTTGGCATGTGAAAAATGATTATTAATTATCATCACACCAAATGCTAGTATCTTCAGTATCTTGGCCAGCCTTCGTTTCTTGAAAACACACACACACACACACACACACACACTCTCTCTCTCTCTCTCTCTGTCTCTCTCTCACACACACTTTCTTACAAAATTCCCTTCTCCAGAGTATCCCAGATATGCTTACTGTTTTATAACACAGTCAAGGTAGAAGAGCTTTACAAACTAAGAGTATTTACACTGAGATCCAGGTCTCCAGGTCAATTTCAGATGATTTTCAGGGATGTTCTGGGGGATGTTCTGGGGCAGGGCCTGAGACCTGTCACTTATTATTAGTGAAACTGTTGGGGCTAAGCAATGACTCAGAATTCCCTTCTGTGCTTAGGTACCAAGGTGAGAGTAGAGAGGTCATGAAAATCCAACAAGCAAGTGCTTTGTGAACTAGAAATCATTGTGTTCTTCAGAGGCATCATCCGCCTCAGACACTTTGCCTTGCCCTATTGTCTTAGTCTTAAGTTTCCTTGAGTCTCTACTGTGAGACGCCTTGGTCTTTTTGGTGTTGCACAAGGAACGCAGTCAACACTGCCTGCAGTATGGCCGGGAACCTGCAGAGGGCAGCAGAAGATCGAACAAGAGGCATATTCTCCAGATGGCCCAGCAGGGTTGCATCTGTTAACTACTAGGTACTGATTTAGGATCTCTGCGTACACCAGACATCCTCCGAGGCTTCTCCAAGAGCTGAATTCAAAGCTGCCTTAGGGTTTTAGACTGACAAAAGTCTCAGAGGAGCTCTCCAAAGACATGGGTCAGCTGTGGGAGGGAGTCTGAGCTCCAGATGAATGGCTTGCAGGGAGGAAGGCAATTCTTATTTTTGGAATATCTGCAGCTTGTCAGGGGAGAAGGTAAATGCTTTACCTACAGGATCTCATTTAATCTTTCTCCTCCCAGTGGTTTTACAAGGTAGGTCCTTTAATCCCTATAACCACATGAAGGAGTGGTCCTACCTCTGCCATGCTGAGGGCTTACTCAGAGACATTTACTCCTAAGTGCCCACTACAACCAGTGGGCAGTTCCCTGGCAGGCCAGGAAGCCTGGTGTGTATTGGGAGTCGTCTGCCTGTCAGAGTGGACACTTGCTAGCCAGACTCATGGAGACGGATGGAGGCACCAGAATGCCCACCGTTTCATTTATAGGCATGGTGAGGATTATCCTGTTGGCACAGCCAAGCTCCTGAGCTATCATCAGGACAGCTGATGAGCCTCCCTCTACTCCAGAGCTAGGTGGCCTGGAGGCCGGGACAGGAGGCAGGACAGAGGTTGTAGAAGGAACTCTGGGCGGGGGATAAGGACAGAAATAGTCTCAGCTGATTGATTTATGTCTGGGAACATCCCTGAACCCATGATATTTTTATCTTTTGTGGAGGGGGAGCCTGGAAACCTGTCCATTTGCTGCCTGTTTTGGATTGTGGGACAAGACGATTCATGACATGCAGCTTCCTTAAATTGGTGAAGCATGAGGTCACCCTGGTGCCCCCCAGGCCCAGGAGCCTGCCCTTTTGTTTTGTTTCTATCCTGAAGTGGGGGAGTACATATTCCTAAGGCAGGAGACAAATCCTGTGACAATCTTGTCACCTGAAACAAAGCAACCCATTGGTGGAAGTGGAAATGTCAGGCACTGCCCAAAGGGATTCTGGCGTCATCTCTGTCCTTGAACTGCCCTGCTCTGGCGTGTACAACCCTCCCCACCCCCTCACCAGCATCCCAGAGCTGGAAAGTCCATCAGGCTCTGTATTTTAGAGAGCGGGAACATAAGCTCACAGAGAGAAACTGACTTATCCAGGGTCCTGCGGCCCTTTAGTGGCACAGTCAGACTTACAGCAAGCCTGCCTGTTTCCCAGTCTAGGCTTTTTAAAACTAAACCATACATCCATTAGTCAACTGAGCCTTCTATTAGGAAACCTGTGGGTCAGGGAGCTGAGGTATATGATAAAAATCTATTTATGCCGCATGGGAAGAAGACATAGCGAGCTTGAGCCCAAGATATGCCTGTATGCCTATATATACCTATCTGCCAGTGCTCCTGTGACAGGGTGCTAAAATGGGATTCCTTCCTCAGCCCCACAGATGGGAAACAAAACAGTGAGTGCAAATCATCCCCTCATTTCAAAGAGAGATGCTGAATCTAAATAATCTATGCAAGCCTTGCAAAGAGATGGCTGGAAACTGATTTTGCCACCATTAACTCATCATCTACCTCAAGAGTATAAAAGATTGAAGTACAGAGTTTGAGAGACTGGGAAGAGAAGTTTTCTTTGGAGCTAGCAAGCCATGTATTCTCCCTGCCAAACAGGAGAGTGTGTGTGCGTTTGTGTGTGTTGTGTGTGTGTGTGTGCAAGAAAAGGGGAGGTCTCATGGTAAATGACATCTGCTTGGAAAGCTGTGGTTGGATTAGACTGAGGCATTAAGGCAGTGAGAGGAAGGGGATGAGGGCCACAGGGCAGGGTTACTAGTATGGCCGCACTGGAGGGAGCCATCACCCAGGAGGACTTCCTGGAGGATGTGATGGAACCCCAACGAAGTAAGGGACTATCTGATGCCCCAGGGTCAAAATAGCCTCAGGCTGGCTGGCTCCAGTGTGGCCCATGAGGAGCACCCAAACATCCTTGCCCAGCTATCTTCACAAGCCTTTATCAGAAGTGCAGAAGGAGAAGTCACTCTCTTGTTATTCATGCTGTTTAGTTTTTCTGACAATGACAACAGCCAGCATTTGTATAGCAATTTGAAAGGTGCTCCCCCTTGCAATGCTTTCTGCAATTCTTTCAGTAAACCTACGAGGTATGTATTATAATCATATCCACTTTACAAACAGGGAAACTGAGGCTCAGGGTAGAAGATGGTGCAGACCAGAGCACTAGCTGTGAAATCAACTGATGTGTTTCAATCTTTGTCTCCCACTTAGCTACTGTGTGATCTTGGGCAAATTATTTAAATCTTTATACTTCTACTTCCTTGTCTGTGGATGAGATACTAGTGGTTCCTTCATAGGGCTGTGGAGAGGATGGCATCAGAAAACGCAGGTAAGGCACAAAACCCAGTGCCTGGCAAGAAGCTTCTTCTCTTATAGAGTGAGTGCCTGAGCAGTGTCAACTAATAAGAAAACCAACACTGAACAGCAGCAAACAAAAGAGAAGGTGTTTTAATTGGGGTCTCGGGAATTGTGGTGAGCAACCAGCTAAATTGTGTACCATCCAGGTGAGGCTGGGCGGGGGCTTATAAAGGTTACTATAGGCTTATGTATCTGAAAGATTTTAGCAGAGTCTTTAATTGCTGATGGCTGTTCACAGCTTAGGATGTCTCTGATGATCAATCCAGTTTGGCATAGCTGTTTCTCCAGGAGGTTAATGATCAGGTCCAACAGAAACAGTTTAGATCAAATACAGCTGGTTTTACAATTTGGCCCAATTTAATAGGTCAGATTCCATCTGGGCATGTACGTGAGTGGGGTCAAACTCCTCACGCTTTCCTGGCTCTTGATAATTCTGGCATAACCATCTCCATTTGGATTTTCTTTCTGACAGCAGTGACTTAAACCTAAGCCTCCAGATGCCAAAGTTACAGCTCTTTGAATGGGGTGGTGCTGGCTCTCAATTTTTTGCATTACACACTTCAGTTGGCTTCTGGCTCTGGAGAAAACACACACACACACACACACACACACACCTGTCACACCCATCTTTCTACCTGTTCACTCTCTTCCATCCCTCCATCTCGGTCTCAGAATCCAGGGGAAAGGACATATCTGGCTCACTGTCAGTAGGAAAGTACCTGCCTTAGGAATCAGACCCCCTGCATCTCTTTCCAAACCCAGAACAGCCACTTCAGAGTGGGAGGCAACTCCAGAAGGGTAGGGGGTTGGGAGGCATTGTTGATAATGGCCCAAAGGTCATTTCCTCCACACCCCAGAGAATCCTGATGGTTCCTTAATGATAAGCCTTTTCCAGGGTACAGAATGTATGGGGTCTTGGACCCTTTCTCCATCTTCCTGAGAGCCATCAGTCTTAGGAAATATCAAGTGGAAGTATTATTTGTCCTCTTGGAGGTGGGCCAAGGGCTTCCTGCCAGGACCCTATGTACTTTATAGGACCTTGTGGATTGGTGACAATAGTCCCGTGGTGATTCTGGAGTAGTGTGGAGCTCTTGGCTCTCCTATGCACTACTTTAATCTGGTAACACTGGGAGATGTGGCCGTTGGTAATTTGTGGCCTTCAGCAAATGAGGAGGTTGGCTTGCAAGGCACTTGGTATTCGTGTTCCTAAGTCCCAAAATCAGGTTTTCTCCTTCCTCAACTACATCTGCCATGTGCTTCTTTAGAAAGGCCAGATGAGGCCAGGTGGTGGCTCATGCCTGTAGTCCCAGCACTTTGGGAGACAGATGCAGGTGGATTACCTGAGGTCAGGAGTTCGAGACCAGCCAGGCTAACATGATGAAACCTGTCTCTACTAAAAATGCAAAAATTGGTTGGGCCTGGTGGCAGGTGCCTATAACCCCAGCTACTCAGGAGGTTGAGGCAGGAGAATCTCTTGAACCCAGGAGAAGAAGGTTGCAGTGAGCTAAGATCATGCCATTGCACTCCAGCCTGGGTGACAAGAAGCAAAACTCCATCTCAAAGAAAAGGCCAGATGCTGGGCTAAGCTAGGGGCTCAAGTGGAAAGAGCAAGGGCTGCCAGCAAACACTCCACTCAGCTTCAGTATTTTAAAAAGTTCTCTTCCCTTGGGAACATTACTCAACCTCTTAGCCTCAGTTTCCTCATTTATAAGTGGAGAAGTGTAAGACCTGTTGTTAGTATTGTGAGGTTAAATGAGATAGTGAAAGACACCCAGCACAGCCTGGGCAACAGAGCAACACCTCGTCTCTAAAAAAATTTTTTTTAATTAGCCACATTTGGTGGTGTGCACCTGTAGTTCTAGCTACTTGGGAGGCTTAGGCGGGAGG